CATGCGGGCAGGGGACTGGACTCGATGACCTCTCGAGGTCCCTTCCAGTCCTAGAATCTATGAATCTATGACAGATAAATGCAACTGCCACTGGGAGTACAACCCTGCCCAGAAGAAGCAATTCTGGGAGTTATTTCAAGGGGGTGAACACCCCACAGCTCACCCTCATGTGTTCCATACAACTCCCCACTGTTAACATTTCGCCTCAGAATGTGTGTCAGGGAGCACATTAGAAACGGCAGTTGGGCAAACTTGCCTGAATTTTATGTATTGTCTGGTCTTCAAAGTCAATCCCATCTAAATTGAGATTGCTTAACTGGGGGAGTGCCTGGCACACAGCAACAATGGCATCGGGGGAAAGCTTAAACCTGGACTCGAGGTGGAGGGTTTCCAAGCACTTCAAGGCTGCTAAACAAGCCAGGCCTGCATCTGTTAGGGAACAAGTATTGCTGAATTCCAAAGAGCGGAGCTGTTTCATGTGACGCCCGATGAAGTGAACAGCAGCATCTGTAATGACACATTTGCGCAGGACCAGGCATTCCAGGTCCTCCAGATATGGGGCTGCTCTCTGAATTCCAGCGTCCGTCAGCCGGTAGGTTCCAGAGAGGGTCAGTGTCCTTAGGCTGGTCTGAGATGATACGTTAAGCAGATGCTGATCAGAAAAGGCAGAGACGTTATGGATCATGAGATGCTGCAGTTGTGGCAGGACTCTGGGAGTCTCTGGAGATGCAGATTTTTGGAACCACACAGCTGGGATCTCACACTGGCTCAGCTTCAGGCTCTTTAGAGAAGACGGTATACAGTCATATGGGAGCCGACGGAGGTCAGCCTGGGTCAGGCACAGGTGATAGAGGCTGGGACACTGCTTCCCGAGTGCCTGCAACAGCGCTGGGGAAAGGAACTCATGCTTTCTCATGGAGTAGAGAGCTCCTCGCACTTTCAGTACCCTCAGGCTATTGCGCAGGTATTGCCTTAGCAGGTGCCACAGGATTCTGGAGCTGAGCTGAGCACGAGAGAGCAAGCAACAGAGCACTTAGCACCTTGACAAGACACGCAACACACCCAACAGAAGCAGTAAACGAGCAAGGAAAGGCCCATCCCCGCTCTTCTTCACATACCTCTTTCCCCTTCATCTTTAAGGAAGTTACTCCACACCCGTAGGATAAGCCACAGGCACGACCCTGCAGTAGATCTCCTCTTACCCTGACTGCTGCAGCTCCTTTCCCTATGAGCAACCTCAGTCTCTGCTCTCCACACTCCAGCACTTGTCAGATGCTGTGGCTGCCTTCTCCTCCACATACACAGTCTCTGTCCTCAGACACCATCCCTGACTCCAGGGAGCTGCTTAAAACAACCCTCCTGGTTTTAAATGCTCTTCAGAAACTGGTACAGCTGATCTCATGGCCTCTCTACCCATCTAACACTAGCCTCCCATACGCAGCTCCCTCGCCCAATGCCCCATATGTGCAAGATCTGCCCCTGGGATAGCCTCACTGTGCCGCTTCTCTTCCTTCTCTTCTCTCATTCACCATCTCATGGTGAATCCCGGATGCAGGCGTCTGGTCCCCAAAGGCCCCCTACCCCTTCCCCGGGACAGCATTTATGAGCCCCTTGGAGTGGTGTCGAGTGGGAGACACGCTGCAGGGACACAGCTGGGCTGGTACCTTGTAGGGCCTTAAATCCACAAATCTCCAGAGCATCTTGTCCTGTACCAGCCTGTGCCAGCGTCTGCAGACCCTGTGGGAACAGCAGCACGGCAAGTTATGATCTCGGCAGCAGCAGCCGTGCTCAATTTTGTGGGGGGCACAGGGAACGAGCTCATCCACCGGGGGGGCATGGAGGAGCTGGGTCGAGCCGCGGGCGGGGGGAGCAGGGGACTGGAGCGAGCCGCCCGGGGGGGGGGGGAGGGCTGGACCGAGCCG